TTGTTAAAGAAGGGCAATTATGTCAATGATATCTGTCACATTAATGAGGTCCTTTTAAACATCCCAGTACTAACTAATGTGGTATTGACTAATGCATCTTAGCCAGAGAGAGAAACTGAGCCACCTGCTGCCAAACAGAGGTAATAGTATTTCATTAATGTTGCAATCTTACAAGACATTAAACAATACTGACCTCTCTATCTCAGCCTCATTTCCTTCTACAACCCCATTTTTTGTCAATCATCATGTCTGTAATCTGCTTGTCTTGATTGAAGGAGTACACATCGATCCCTGCTGCACCGACAGCTTGACTCAGATCGATTGTCAGTGTCACCATGAGCTCCTCAACCACATCTGCCGCTCTGGTGTGCCTGCTGGCGGGGGCCGTGGCAGCCATTCAGACCCCCCAGACAGGTGAGAGGGTCGTCGTGGAGCCAGTTGAGTCTCTGCAATGGTGTAGTCTGAGCTTCAGGCCAAAGTAAAGAGAAGTCAGCGATTTAAAGGAGGTCAAGATGGCAGCATGCTGAGTATGACAAGTCAGAAAAGAAGAAAGCACTGAGTGGATGCTTTATCAAATACAGATGAGATGCTGTTTAGTTCTGTTTATTGGTTGCAGTTTTGTTTATTCCTGCAGGGTCCTATAACCTTTCCTATGTGTAAGGATACAGGAGGTTTGGTTTTGTCTTTCATTTTGCTTGACATCTTTTTGATGATTAACTAATGTCAGCTAACAATTATTTTCATAATAAATTAATCTGCTGTTAGCTGTTTGTTTAAAAAATGTCACAATTTTTCCAAAGATATTCAGTTTATAATGAAATTTTTAAAAAAAGCATCAAATGCTCACTTTTGAGAAGATGGAAATAGAGAAGTTTGACTTCATTGATAAATCAAAATAGTTAGATATCTAATATCAAAGTAGTTACGTATCATTATTTTGTCGATCGACTAAACGATAAATAATACATCTGAAGCTGAGTCTCTGGGAAAATTAAGAAAAAAGAAATTACTGTATGACTATCAAAAGGTTCCAGAGACCAAGGAAATTGGTACGTGTGGCAAATAATAAAAATTAAAATTCAGTGCTACTATTTTACAAACTCTCAAATCTAGCTGATCACACAAGAGCTGCGCAGGTTCAAGCCTCCTTATTGGCAAGCAGCTGACTCTGTGTACAGTCTGTTGTGGAGGAACGAGCTGACAAATAAAACTGTTCCTCTTAGTGTTCTTGGACAAGGAGCAGGCGAGCTCGGTGATCTCCCGTCAGAAGAGGAACGTGGACCCGGGTCAGCCTTCCACCCTGGAGCAGGTTTGCATGGAGAAAGTGTGCACATACGAGCAGGCCAGAAGTGTCTTCCAGGACTCATACCGCACGGTGAGCTCCAGGATCTCCTTCCTCATTCTCAGACCTCCTCAGTGCCTCTTCATTACTGCAGTGTGCCTCCTTTTCATGAATGCACTGTTTAAATGACACCAATGTGCAGCTTCAACTGAGCACTTATCATACAAATGTTCTCTTGCAGGATATCTTCTGGGCTGTCTACATTGGTAAGTGCTGTGTTAAAAGGTTTTTCCATCACTGCGCAGTCATTGGTAGTACATCACATATTCTAATAAACTTGCTGTCTGTGTTTAGATGGAGACCAGTGTGCAGAAAACCCCTGCAAGAATGGAGCCATGTGTTCGGACAGCGTGGGAGGCTACGACTGTGTTTGCAAGTCGGGTTTCACGGGGGTCCACTGTGAAACAGGTGAGCAGGATATGTTGGCATCATCGTTGTTAAATCACTTCTCATTTGGCGTGTGGGTGCTGCAACCTTCCCCCTCTGTTTTTACAATGCAGACCAGACTCTGTGCACCCTGGAGAAGAACAAGGGCTGCTCCCAATTCTGTAAACCAGGTTACATATCCTATGAGTGCTCCTGCGCCCGTGGATGGAAGCTCAGCCAGACAGACAGGAATAAGTGTGAGCCTGCAGGTACGTCTGTTTCCACTGTTTAAGTCCAACTGACATTAAAATGCATCTTCTCGCAGCTACAGCAAACACATGTGCTCCGTAAATCACCTGTCACGCTTTAAGAAAAAATCTGAAACAAAAAAGGGATACATTTATATTTTCAGTTTCTTTGGTTTTATGATGGCAGCAACGATTTTTTTCATAGATTTTTCAGACCCACCGACTTTGAAAAACAACCCACATTAGCTTTCCTGCTAAAGTCTCCTTCTTATACAACTTACAAACATGAACCCATGTCTTAACTTGTGCTTTAGCCCACTGAACGAGCTTGAGCCTAACGAGTTTGTGCCTCAAAGAGGTAACAATAAGTCTCTCAAAGATAATCAACTGTCGATGTTGAAAATGCAGAAGGTCATTTAAAAACACTTACTGTTATTCTGAAGGTATTTTTAAAGACTCCCAAAGACTTCTTTAACCATCTGGATTAAAAAGTATTCTACGTCTCTGTTTCCAAATCAAAACAAAGATGGCCACCCACTGGCTACCTGGATAGGGAGCAGATTTGCAACTTGGTAAATGGGTTAAAATGTATTAATCGTTTCATAAAGATGGTTCGAAGAGTCTTTGAGGATTCTCAAAATATCATCAGAATATATGCTAATACATCAAAGGCTGAAGAAAAGTACATTACAAGGCTACATTAAACAACGTATAAACTTATACTTAAACCCTGTATTGTTCAATACTTCTGCCACTTTTTTCTCTCAGTCACATTCCCCTGTGGTAAAGTGAACAGTCTGAGCCGGTGGAATGACAGACAGTCCACCAACACGCGCAGCAACTTTGAAGGACTTAGCTGTACTTCTTCAGAGTGTCCCTGGCAGGTAGGGACGCTCACACTGTGACACATTACAGATCACAATTAACCCCTTTTTTAATTGTAAGTCCCTCCATCAGTGATGCAGGGTCTCATTGCTGCATATCATCGGGTTGTTTGCAGGCTCTCCTGAAGAGTCCAGAGTCCGCAGGTTTCTGTAGCGGAGTCATTCTGAAGGAGAACCTGGTCTTGACTTCAGCTCAGTGCGCCAACAAATACAGCTCCTTTCAGGTGGCTGTTGGTGAGTAGACAAAAAAGAATCATTCCTTTACTGCTATTACTGCAACTACTAATATATTTAATGATGCAACATTTTTAGAAAAATCTATGTGATCAAAAAACAGGCTACAGTATATACAGACAAAAATATTACACAATACATTTTAAATGTCTTTAAAAAGGACTGTACCCCATGAAGGACATTTTTACAATGCCCATGTTTTAAATAGAGAAACTGTGTACAATGTTGAGATTATACATGAAGCTTATTTTCAACACCAGCTGGAGACAATCACATGTCATTTGTTGTTTTATATATTGAATTCCTCATTTAAATCAATGCACAAATCAGTATTCAGTGTATATATGCAAAATATGTCACGTTGGAGAGTTTTTTTTCCTCCATATCACCACCACAGAGAGACTTTTTTAACTTTCTCAATACCAATGTACTTGTGCTGACGGTATAGGCCACCTTTCTGAAATGAGCTGAGATAGATCTCATAACGTTACTCTGAGTGGGCAATGGACGACATTTTCCATTTCCCACATGAAAATTAAATTTCAAGCATTAAAACCAGCTTGTGATAGAGTGCGGCAGGGATGACGTCTTTTTGTAGGCAAGCATGGAAGTTGGCATGGCCCTGTTCCAGCGGCAAAAAACCAACTGGATTTTTCTGTTGGATTTTGGACTATTGCAGAAAATAAGTTCTTGTTCAGCAAGATAATGAAATTAAATTCACAAACGAACACCACTTTTATGATTTTTGAAGCGAAAATGCGATCACCAGATGTGAAAAGCTAACGTTAGGCTATAAACAAACTAAACCACAGTTGCATATATTCAACGTCACCACCATTAAACTCCCAAATTGTGATTAATCCTTGTAATTAAAATCTACAAGCTAAAAAGGTTAGAATAGGTAGCAAGAGCACAAGTATAAACACTGCCGATAAAGTAATCGAACAATTAACTACATGTCAGTATATGTGCATGAGCTCAGAAACACCATCATCCTGAATGTCTTGTAATATCTGCTCCTCCTCAGGCAAGCGCATCACCAACAATGAAGACAGAGAGCAGACGCTGTATGTGAAAATAGTTCACGTCCACCCGCGCTATGTGGAAGGTCGCCCTGAAAATGACCTGGCTGTGATTGAGCTCCGCGACCGCATCATTTTGAAGAAAGAAGTGGTTCCTGTCTGTCTGCCTGAAAAAGACTTTGCTGATAACATCCTGATGAATGGGGAGTACCCAGCGGTGGTCACCGGCTGGAGAGAACCCAAACAGGTATCTTCTTTTGACGGCCCACTCACCCTTAACCACCTGGCATACAACAATCTGCCTCAGTGTCTGGAGACTCACCCCAACCTAATGACCAACAAAATGGGCTGCACCGCTCCACGGACCAATGCCGACTGCACCATGAGCTCCGGCAGCCCCCTGCTCACCCTGTACAGGGATGTGTTCTTCCTCACTGGGGTGGTCAGCCAGCCACCAGGGTCCGACTGCAATCAAGGCTATATCTTCCAGAAAGTGTCACGCTACCTTGGCTGGCTGCGGCCACTCATGGGTTCACGTTAGGCGGGGTAGTCAGGGAGAACATGGAGGTTATTGGTTATAGAAAATAGGGAAACCCAGGTGAATAAATCCCAAAAACAGGGAATAAGATGAACATGAACATGTCTTTCCGTCTTTTAATAGTACCAGTTTCCTAATGAAAAAACGATTTAACATCCGTATAGTTTCAATGTAGGCGATTGCTTCCCATCTGTCTCTGTGGAGTTCCTCATTTATCCACAAGGTGGCTGTCTGTTAACATAAAAAGAGGAGCACTTCCTGTCTGTATATACCAGTGAGAGGGTCAGAGACAGCAAGAGATGCACTGAATTATTTAGCATGTGTTATGTGATGTGGACATACCTTTTAATAACCTTTTAAGTTATGTTATTTTTAACAACTACTGTACTAGTTGACATGCACCTTGTAACACTACAGGTAATCACTGTTCTATAAATGTAATAAACCCTAATACCACACCTGAGTCAGTTCGGTCGTTTTTAGGTTTAAGTATACAGGAGTATATTTGGAAGATGTTGAGGAAAGATTTCTGGAGATCTGAGTATCTGAATATTTGGAAATCATAATAAGACATAAATAGAACACCTATTTTATTTTGAAATTTTACATTTGAAGATAAGTCCCTTGAGATGCGCCATTATGTTTTTGAGTGGGTCATCAGACACAAAAACATGAACATTAGCTGACAGTAGAAATAATATGATAAGCAACAAAACTAAAGTAATCCAAAATAATGTTTAAAAACAAGCTCCTTTGCAACCACAAACTACACCCACTATATCACTATCACAATCAGCTATATGATATGAGTAGAGAACTGCCACACTATGTAAAATAATGTCAATATAAACCTAAAAAGCTTCAAAAGATGGTGAAAACGAGCCTACAGCCATTCTAGCAGCTCTGTGAAGCTCTACAAATGCTAATATCAGGATGCTGAAGTGCTTACAAGCAAGTATGTTTACTGTGTTCACCATTATATTTTAGTTAAAATTAACTAATTATCACTAAATAAGAAGTAAAGCTGAGGCAACTAATTATTTGGTTGTAAGTACTGACCTAATAACAGGTTTTACTGGCTGATGACGTTAGCTAGATGAAAAGTGAAGTGACTACGATTCATCCTGAGGGGGACATGAATGTGTGTACCAAATGGAAAACCTGTCCAATAATTGTTGAGACATTTCACTAAAAAGCACAAATGTCATCCTCTATAGAAAAAGTCAGTGGCTCACCAACATCAGTAGACTTCATTCTCAGGGGAACATAAATGTCTGCAAACTTCAGGGCAATCCATCTAATAGTTGCTGAAATATTTCAGTCTGGACCAAAGTGGGGGATCAACTGACAGACCGACCTTGCCTCTAGGGCAGTGGTTCTCAATCTGGCCTCTGGGGACCCCCAGGGTCCTTGAGGGAGTTCCAGGGGGTCCCCAGAAAAATTGTGAATCTTTTAATGTTATTATTATTTCATTGACTAAAAGTTAGTCCAATGAGATAATGTAACAAAGATTATTATATTCGTAGGTTTCACCCTCTTCACTCTTAATCTGCCAATCTATGGTATTAAATATTGGTCCTCAGCCTAATGTGGATTCATTTGTGGGTCCTTGACACCAAAAAGGTTAAGAACCACTGCTCTAGGGCCATGCTGCTAGCATGCAGATGAGAACCAAATATAGTCCAGAACAAACACATTTCGAACAAGCCAGAAGTCATGAAAATAAGTGAAAGTTAGTTTTTCACACTGATATAAATTTAAAAGCTGTAAATATCTAATATCTAATATAACATAAAATCTGCAGTCCTCGTAAATTTGGTGCAACTGTACAATCAGATGACAGGAACATAGCTCTGGCAATCTTTCTCAGCAAGTCGTATATTCCCTTTTTGTCCCTGACCATATTAGCTAGCCCTCACTGTCACATACCCCTGTGTTGTCTGGCAACATTTTCCCACAGACACTCGCCCTCTGCAGTCTTCTCACAACCTCCCTGGTGAACAAGGCCAGGGCCGTGTCATGCAGGGAGAAAAAAAGGAGAGGCAGAAGAATGGGCAAAAGAGAGAGAGTAAGAGACGCCACATAACAAAAATCCTGGCCTGCCACTTTTGATCGGGCGCTTGAAAAGGACAGCTCTGAAAGCTGGGGCCCACGTTGGCTGTTGCCATGGTACTCACCTAGGAGATGGCTCCTTGCTCCCAAAAATGGCTCTGCTCCTTTACTGGGCCATCCAGTGGAGATTAATTTGAGTGGAGCTCCTTCCTTCCTGAGTCTGGTCCTGCTCTCTGGTCCTGCCAGCTCCATTTATATGCTCGAGCTTACATATACACAGAGGTGCCGAAACACACACACACTAAGCAAGGCAGCAGCTAAACGTCACCTACTCTGAGCTGTTAAATTCTGGCGGCTTTTTACGTCCCGATTCAGCGTATCACTTAAATATCAAACAGCTACGTGAGTTTGATTTTATTCCCTGAATCAAACCTAAAATCTGAGCAAATGGGGAGGCGAGGACGTGCGGTGCATGCCAAGAGGGGGAAAAGGGCCAGAGTGAGAGATGTTTGACAGGCTGAAAAAGCAAAGAGCTGAGATGAAGAGCAGGGACAGACCAAGAGAGACCTGGGATTTGCGATGTTGACACAGAAAAGAAGAATTGTGTGGATGGATTGATGGACCTCCAGCATATTAGACATGAATGAAAAGGGCCTCGGAAAGAGACATTAGTAAGGCCATTACTGATGGAGGGAAGTGAAAGCACTCAATACCAAGGCTTTCACTCTACACAAATCAAATGTTAATATTGCTGCACAAGATTGCTGCAAATGATGATATAGTTGAATTTTACCACAAAGTGTTAAGAGTGGATGCATCTGGCCAGTGTCCTACTAAATCAATAATCCTTTACTCTCCCCAAACCCAAAAAATGGTTGCATGCTGTGACCGCAAATCCTCCCTATCCTGTGTGTGTACGTATGGATAACACATACATGCTCTGTCTTGTGAGTTTGGGGGTGGGTGACATCAAATGACAGACTTTGGGAGGGATTATCTGTCTGCGTGGTGTCTGATTCCACGCAGGGGGTTAGCCGTATGTCTGCGCGTTGAAGGCAGATTGAGTTAAAGTCTCGTGCTATGTGTGTAATGAGTGCCCCACTATCTGTGAAGGCATGCCTATGATCTTGTCCAATAATCCCCCTTCCCAAAATCCATGTCCCCAATCTCTTCTCCCTTCAGGACTCCACAGACACAGGGGCTCTGCAGTCAGATTGGGTGGCAAAGCCTCTACCATCCACCCCACACCGTCTCAAACTCTGCCCCATGCCAGACACAGCAGCTTCCACTCGGTTTGGTAATTGTGCAGGAGGGTGGAGGTAACGCAGGACCTCGAGAGGTTAGGCGTTGGACTGGGATGAAGAGACAAGCTGTGGACTTTTATATAACTCAGCTGTAGTCTCATTTCTCCCTGATATTGGTTGTTTAACGAGGCTTTAGAGTCTACAGCCATACTCTTAGTTTAAGCTATCATGCTGACAATGTTAGGATGCTGATGTTAAGCAAATTTACCATCTCAGTTTAGGATCTTAGCATGCTAACATTTGCTAATTAGTACAAATCTAGATCTAGAAAAGTTAAAGGATCATCAAAGTTATTACAATTGATTCAAGGAAGACATGAATGTGTATATTAAATTTCATGGCAATCCATCCAATAGCTGGTGAGACATTTCACTCTAAACCACAAATGTCAACCTCGTGGTGGCACAAGAGGAAAAGTCAAAGGATCACCTAAGTCAGTAGGATTGATCCTCTGGGGACCATGAATGTCTATGTTTATGGAAATCCATACGATAGCCATGGCTAAAAAAAAAAACACTAATCAAGTTTTACCCTGCACCAAGTGAGACAAATAATCAGACGTCCCTGTTAAATAAAAGTGAGTCTTCATATGATTTTCAATGACTTTCCTGTGTATTTCACCTCCATATTTTGTGTAAGGTGACATTTCTGCTTTGCTGATAAAAAAAAGTCCTTTATCCACCTCTGTCCTTCAGACAGGCTTTAAAAGCAATATGTCACTTTCAGCATGCGGACACAGTGACTGGGTGATAGAGGAGGAAGGTAAATCCTGGAGCAGCCTTTATTCCACTGACCTCACCCTGACCTTCCACGGGTTAAGTCCTGTTTAGAGCCATTGAGAAACCTGAGGAGCTGACAGAAAGGTCTCCAAGGCTCAGTGAGTGAAAACAAGTGCGCTATGGTCCATGTGGTGGTCTTTGAAGTGGTTATAAGACCGTGTTATGTTTGTGCAAGAACTGAATGTGTGAGTGCTTCTATTTACGTGTCCTGTCCTCCAGATACAGAACATGCAAATAATCTACATATCGGTTGTTTTAAGTTGACCTGACAAGGTCACATTCAGATGACCTTTAATATCTGCCCTTCTTTTACAGGGCTATGCTACTTTGAAAGGTCACGACCTCTTCAAGTTTTTTAGTATTCTGTACGGCAAGTGACAGCCGGAGGGTTTAAGTCACCGTGATGAACAGATGAGGTCAGGATTATCCCACTGAGCATACTACATTCATTACTTAAGTGACCAAGTCAGCACATTTAACTACACAAAAAAAGGCAAATGAAGTAGCCACCCAACTGTAGAACATTTATGGCAATGTTTATTAATGTGCACCATCCCTGATAAATAAAATATATAAATAAATTAGAAGTTTAAGAAAACATGGGTAATATAAATGAGTATGGGCACTCCAGTAATTTCATATGAAAGAATGGCCAAAATCAAAACCTCAGTGGCCGAAAAATGTTGACTTTTAGTCTGCAGTATTTGGTGCAAAATGCCAAAAAACTGGATCCTGCACTTCCCATAATGCAACTTGATAGCATCTTTTCATTAAAACCCCTCTTTGCCAGTAAACTCCCATGTATCTCTAACTCCATATTCTAGCAGGCTTTCTATTAAACGTTAATAAAAGTGAACTCACTTATGTCTTTATTTAAAAAAAGAAGTGTTTCAGAGCACCAGAAGAATTTTAGAGGCATACAAAGTCAACTGAAAGGCGTAACAATGCGTTATGAGAAGTCAGGCGAAGATGCTTTCCGCTTGAGTTGATCAATGTTTCAACTTAGGCAAAACAAATAACCCAGGGCTTTATGAATCTGCTTCATTAACGTACAGAGACGAGAGGAAAAAGGACACACACACAAACACAGCTTGCAGCTTGCGTCTGTACTGTTGGTATATTGGCTGTTTGGGGGACAATACTGAACAGTCCAGTGGTCAAACTGGTGCAAACGACACAAAACATACATTTATTTTGCTTTTCTGACTGAACACATGGTAAAACTTGACAAAGCTCATCCAGATAAGATATCATACAGTTGTTTTCCCTGGCTCCCAGTGATAAGTCATGTTTAAAGTGCTCATTTAAGAGGCGTTTTTTTTGTATTTGAACTACTAGTAACTGTGTGTAGGTAATGCCAACATATTGCAGTAAAAGCTGTTATATGATCCCTACATTTTTTTTTGAGTCATTTTTCGCACATTTAGAAATGAATATTGTCTAAACACAGCACCACTATCCCACTTTACACCCATGTAAGATGGCTGTGTGTCTGGAAACAAAGTCATCTTTAAAATTAGACTCTCTTCCTTCCATTTTTGGACACCTGCATCCTGTCATGGTAAATACATCCTGTGAGGTCATAGGCTCTCATCCTGATGCTTGTCAATGGAAACAGATGCAGCATGCGGGCCTGCATGTCGGCCACCCTGCTGTCTCTTCTGTGGTTCATTGTGTGGAGCCCAGTGGGGTCTCGACAAGGTGAGGCAACCTCCGGGGCACCAAGGGGGCATGTAATGAGGTGAAGGATAAGAGAGAGGGGAAAGAATAAACAGAGACAGAACCATGTGGAGGTTGCGCATTTTGGAGAGAAAACTGGTGATGAAGGAAAGAGACAGGATACAGAGAGACACAAAAAACAGTCTCTACACATAGAACGACATAGTAAAAAATGAGGAAACATGACAGACTGCTGTGTGACGCTGTTGTTCCTGTAGACACATGACACCTCAAGAGCATGTGCTTTCCTCATTAAAGGACAATAACGCCCTGGGCAGGGCCAAAGTTAGTCTACTGCCTGTCTGTAAAGGCTATATTAGTCAGCCAATGAGCCCCACACATGATCGTACTGGTACAGTTACCCTGTCACCGTCTATAAATACTGAGGCAGGAGATCTTCGCTGGCTGCTTTTATCTGATGATGACATCATAGATATGAATGCAAACAATACAACATGCACATGCAGTGGAGCAATCTGTTACAACAATGCTGCTCCAGCATTAGAGCTCGACATGAATATGCAAAATATTTACCAAAAAAAAAGGGAATTAAGCAACCACAAAAAAACAATGTTTCACAGGCTTTGTCAGGGAAGTTGAATTTCAATCACACATATTTCAAAACAGGAACTAAGAGGAAGTCTCACATTTTTTTTAATAATACAGACAAACCAATCTGCCCAGTTTAGAGTTTGGTACTAGAAACTTGTCACAAAGGTTATTTAACTCAACTGAGGATAAGGTCTTGGTCAAAATAAATGAATAATATGCAAAAGAAAAAGCACGTACATGTCTGTGAATCTGATGTTTTTATAAATCAGAATGAACTGAATTACTGTTGGCTTTAATGTGTATACGTACATTAAAGGTAGTTTTTTTTTTCTGTGATACCAAATATATGTACAGTAAATACCTACTGTAGCAACTGGTTAGCTTAGCTTAGCACAAAGACTGAAAACAGGGAAACAGCTAGCTGAGCTGTCCGAAGGAAAACAAATCAGCAAATCTAACACTCATAAATACACTTTATATGGGTTATGTGCCGGACTGGGAGAAGGAACTTCCTGGAGTCAATTCTTCCGGACCCTCACAGCAAAGACAAGACTTAATGCGAAATAGTCGGGCACGTAAACCCGATTGGTACGGATTAAACAAAAGAGTTATAACATGTTAATTAATGAGGTTTTGAGGTGCTGGTAGGCAGGGCAGAGCCTGGTTAGCTGTTTCCCCCCCCTGCTTCCAGTCTTTGTGCTAAGCTAAGCTAACCGGCTTCTGGCTCCAGCTACATATTTACCCTACAGACATGTGATTGGCATCAATCTACTCAGCTCACACACAAATAAGTAACTACATGTTAACACACCTCTTGAATACACTATTATCCTACAAGTTCTTCCACATCCACTGATTGTGATTAGCTTTGTGTGATAGTGTAATGATTGCATTTACTGTATGCAGGCTCACTCACAAGGCTAAGGATGGTATCGATGATGTCTGCCTGCTGATAACATGAAAGAGCCATTAATCTCATCAGCTGTCCTCTTTGGAGCAGTGACCCCTCCTCCTGATCCTCCTCCTCCACCCCCTCTTCCCATGCTGTCACTCTCCCAGCCTGCACCTGTCAGATTAGTCTCACATCCTCAGCTGCCACTCCATATGATACGCCTCCTTACTGCCCAGAGCCCTCATGTCATCTCACTTTGCATGTATTAAAGTGTTTGAGCGTGTGAAAGGGAAAGTGATGGTAAGGGGGGAATGCAACAACAGGGCAATCCCATGCAGAATGTGTGTAAAATGTAAATGTAACTGGTTTGTTGGTTCCCAGTGTTTCCTCCTCGTGTTGCAGCAGGATTGGGTTTGGTACCATCGACACGCAGACGAGAAAGTGTAGATTAATACCCCCAAATCTCTGGATTATTTGAAATCCTATAAAATGAGACCCAGCTTTGTGAGTGGATGCAGAAAGGAAGATTTTCTTCTTTCTTTTTCTGGCAGCAGCATTATGATTACCTGGTCAGAGGTGTCATGGCTGCCATGCTCTGCTCCTGCTTGTCTGCAGAACAGTTTTGGGAGCATGTGCAAAATATGACAACATTGCCACAAATCACTTCCACTGGCTCACATCATGCACTGGGATAAAGGCAGGATGGAAGTCCGGGGAGAGTAGGGGGGGTGGACATAGTGGGGGTAGTGCGGTCTTCACTGAAAGCCTCACTGGTAGATGGACTGGAGCAGCTGAGGCGACAAGCATGTGACCAGAGGGAGAAGTAAGCGCCACAGCAGTTTGTAGCTGTAGTGAAGCACCCACAGATAACCAAAGTGACCCCGGAAAACAGGCTTTATTACTTTCAAAATAAGATTCACAAGATGAAAATGTAGGGCTTGTAAAGGAAGGCATTAGTCAAACAAACAGAATAAGATAAGTAAGAATATAATGGCAGTGGGTGTTATAAATACTCATAATGCACTCTTATGGCAGCACTGAAGGGTGGGTGGTTAAATTCCTGAGTCCTGCTGACCTCTGTCCACACGTTAAAAGTGTCTTTGAGCAAAACATTGAACCATAATTTGCTCCAAATAGTTAAATAGGCGCCTTGCATGACAGCTTGCTGACACTGGTGTGTGTAAAGGGGTGAAACAGAGGCAGATTTGTAAAAACATATTGCTTTAGATGCAAATGTACTATTTATTTACTTGTACTCTCTTTCTTTTACTTGTTCCTTTTGGGAAACAAACGGGTTTATATTAAGTCAATTTATCAGCTGGATTGATTTCTATGTCAAAAAGTAGACCGTGTGAACTTATCCTAAGAACTTTATTCTGATAGAAATGACCGGAAACTGAGTTTTAATAGTTTACCTTGACTATATCAGGATATTTTCTATGACATTAGCGCAGTCAACGAGGCAAAAACACAGTACCACAACCTGGCACCAAGCAGGAGCAGCATTTAGAGAGTCCACACTGTGCGTAAAGCCTGTGTGTGACAGTGACTTTATAAGACAATAGATTAAAGTGAGCGTCTGCGTCTGTGTGTGTGTGTGTGTGTGTGAGAGAGAGAGATCCGCTGTGCGTCTAGAAAGGATTTAATAAGGTGGTCCCCCTGTCAGACACCAATTCATTTATCGGAGAGTAAAACAGTTAAAGGGAGGGAGGACAGAGAGGAGTCAGTGGGGACTGTGGTGGCTCTGGAGAGCTGTCACTTTCTCTCTCTCTCTCTGTGTCTCTGTGTGTTTCTCTGTGTGTGTGTGTTTGTGTGTGTGCGGAGAGGGATTATCAGTACGCACGTTACGCGGAGCGCAGTTTTGGTGATGCATTCAGTCGGGAGAAGTGCAGCGGGGAGCAGCGAGCGTCAACCCGGACATTCAGCGGCATAATCGGCGCAAAGAGGATCCGGCTGGTTTTTTCGGGGCACCTTCTCTTGCGCATCAGGGGGATTTCAACCTCATTGTGTGTTTTTATTTACTTTGGATGAATCCCCCTGTATTTGTGCAGAGTGAAAGTCACGGATGCGCACCGCTGAACAAAGGATTTAGGGGAAAACGATCAAGAATCTTTTCCACATTTTAATCCCGACAACCCCCCCGGGTGTGTTTCGTCTCGCCCCCCCCCTTGTTTGGACCTGTTTGGACTCGGCATTCATGCCCTTTCTGCCCGTGAAGACAACGGACACGGGGCTGAATAACCGGATCCTCTAGTTTCCAACCTGGAGCAGGAGGAATCATCTGGGCTGCTCGCGTACAGGTCCATGTGGATGGAGAGAGAATACGCAAACAGAGCGAGCGCAGCTGACTCCGAAATGTGACATTTTTTACTCTGGTCTCCCATCGTACCTGACAACTGTGCATCTGCCTTCGTCCTCGATCGGATTTGTTTACATCGATTAAGGTACGTGCTGCTCGCCACGTAGCCCGTAGGATTATTGGTTATTAAGAAATCGGGGGGGGGGGCAGTCCTTGTGGAGATGTGTGTGCGTGATATATATTCAGTAGGTGGGACTATTTTAGCTGGGAAAAACTCGGTGTAATTTGAATCATCGTCTCGGTTTGTGTTGTAGTAAGGCTGTTTGGTTGGTGGTGGTGGTGGTGATGGGGGGGGTTATCATCACTGAGGTGGAAGTTGCATCCCTGACAGCCCCCCCTGGAGAAAGGCGATGTCGATGCACCAAACGTATAGGTGTGTGGATCAGTACGGGGGGGGCAGTGTTGTAGACATTGTTGCAGAAATGTATATTCACGCTCAGGGCTGGCTTGGCACATATGGTCTTGACCTCTAGGGGCATTTGGCAGAACCATGTTAAGCTTAACTTAAGACATGGAGGACTTTGACCTGTGTGAAATCTATCGCTTGATTGGCTGTGGCACATTTTTTTCTCACGAGGATGAAAACGTTGGTCTCTTTTAGTAGCTGCGCCTCCATTTTCACCCAACAATACATTTGTATATTTTAGGAGTGTCGATCACTCCTCCATTCTTTACTTTAGAGGTCGGATGTCATTCTTTATTTTTAGGATCACACACCTAACAATAGTCTTACTGCTGCTCCCTCAAACAAACACTCTTCTGGAACCCCCCAGGGACCCTCCCATGTGGTCGGTATTGTTAAAGAGAGAAAGAGAGGGGTGGGGGGGCAGCTGGGAAAAAAAAGAAAAGAAAAAAGAGAATTCTCTAAACGTGTGTTTGCATTAAGCTGCTCCTTAGGTCAGCTAGAAAACCAAGGGTGCCCCCCCCATTAGGAGATGTCTCCCTCCCACGCTGGACTCATAAACAAGAGTGAGGGCCCTGAACTGGTTGTCTAACTCAGAAAGAAATTGCACTTAAATGCCCACTTGAGTCCAATTAGACATTGGAAGTTTGTTTGGGAATGGAAGTCAATGTATGGATTGTGTTGGTGAATGGGTCGATGATAGGTGGGCCCGTAGCCTCTGTCAGTGCAGTATTTGTGTACTCAGAAAAAGCTCCCAGGCCTTTTTTGGAGTGTCCTGTTTTCCATCATTAATCAATATTCAGCAGAGTGGAGCTGTTTATTCTCAGGCTGCGCTTCCATGAGTTAGTTAGCTCCCTCGGGGGGAAAGAGGATGCCACAGTATCTCCTCGGGGCTGATGCCATATGTACCTTGTTTGGATGAGTGTGTGCGAGTGCGGACTCTTTATGTACACATGACACAGCTGAGTGTATGAGCTGTAAGGAGTGCCATTTTTACATACACGGGAACTTCCCTGCTTCTGCATATGTGCATTCGTGTTCACGCACCCACCCCTCCTCCCGTCTCACACACAGACACACACATACAAACACACATGCTCCAGGCACAAGGCTCGCTCCAATTCTTCTTTTGCACATCCGGCTGTTCCTTGTTCCTCCTGCTCCTCTGATCACACTCTCTAACCGGCTCTGATCTCTCTGGGCTCCTGTGAATCATCCCACTGCGAGATCCCATCTCTTCATCTATAATAGAAGATGATTATTGATATCACATGGAGGCAGAACGCATGACACCAGAGGTCTGTGGCTCTGGTTCCAGGGCGCTTTTTTTGGGTTTTAGATGCCTTCACATATGACCAATCTCACCCCCCATCCGTTGTTGTTGCAGGGAGAGGAGGGAGAACCAGAAAAGGAGAGCAGAGGGAGGGGTGTAAGGCAGTGGCGCTGTTAATTGTTAAGTCAATTAGCATATGGTCTTGCTGTGAGCCCAGTCACATGGTAATGAGGCCTAATTAGGATGGCTCTGGGTGTCTGAAGAGGCTGGGGAAAATACTTCCATTCTCAGTTTCTTCATGCAGACACCCAGGAGACCGGTGCAGTGAATAGACTACCACTGTTTCAGTCTCGCCATTCAATATCTTTCCCTCTTATCCCTACCTCTCCTGTCTGCTGTGAGTCTAGTTTTTTCCAAAACTTGTCCTCACCAACTCCTTATCAATATTTCAGCACACCCATACGTCATACCTTGACATCTACCGCGTCTACTCCCCCCTTTCTTTTCTCCTTCATCCCCTTTCATTCCCATCATTTTATCAGCCACTACCAGCTGCGAGGGATTGATGATGTCACTCCGGGGGGCTTACAGATGTGTAGAGATTGGAGACAAAGTCAGAGCGGTCAGATGGTGCACTGTAATTCATGGTTATTGTGCATTTTAATTGCAGTAGGAAGCTGAATGAGTGGTGAGCTAAATGCTTTGCAAACGTATCTGTGGAACAGCTTAGTCCATCAAACATGAATGGAGTGGAATAGGCAGCTACAACATTATCATAGTTACTGTAAATGTCTTTTCAAGTGTAAATCTATGCACGGGGAAGTTATATTGAAGGTTCATTGTGTAAGGTGCTGTTATGTCAGGCCTGTTTATTTCAGCAAAGATATCTTTCTCAATATGCAGACTCGGAAATCTCATGTAAATTGGCCATGCTTTCGCAATTTTCTGCGTAGGAGGTCTCTGACTTCAGTTGAATGGAAGACTGGTAAGACCGTCTCTGGAAAGTCACAAGTTTGTGGATTACAATAACCATGTGTCCTGTCCAAATCTCCTTCAGTGAGTAAGAGTGCGCTATCTGTTGCGGATAAGAATCCTAGCTAAGAGTATGTCCACGTAAAGCCTGTTAATCTTAAAAACACGCATTTTTCTCTCTGTTTAAGCTCTCCTTTCATGTTTCATTACTTCTGTGGCCTCCCTCCTCTTCGTCTCTTTTCTGGACAATATTTCAGGTCAGACTTTAACTCAAGCAACTTCAAGCTAATTATTCTCACTCAACACTCACTAGATAGACAACATTAAGAAAGCTTTAGACAGAAGTTGCAACTGATAACAAACCTAACTAGGACAGACAGGCTTTTTTAGTGCTATAATAAACACAGATGTGTTTTTAATACACAGTAAATCTCATGCAGCGAGACAGGACATCAAGACAGCCTGGGTTAATTTAACATGACTGATATCTAAGGCCTTATGTAATTCCAGCGACTGATGTAAGATGTAAATTTATGCGCCGTCAGAATAGGAAAGGTCTGTTAGTATAGTCTCGAATGGCGTCACAGGCAGGCAGATGCTAGCACAGGTCCTGCAAATGACCTGCTCACCTCGACAGCTGGATCAGAGTGTTTCCAGCCATATACCTCCACAGACACACACATTTGCTCTATTATCGTCTCAGTAGTCTGAATGAAACAGTAGGAGCAAAAATGAGAACTGAAGCGAGTCGTCAAAATGCAATGATCCTCCCAATTATCACCACGGTAATTAGACAGCATCTGGTTGGTGTGCTATGTCTGATAATTAGGACGAGGTAATTGTACAGGACGGCTCACCAGATTTCCGGGTCCCTGCCTATCAGGATCCAGGATCAGATTTGAAGGACTGCAGTGCTGCACATTTGCACTCTCACGCCTGTATTCCTGTTGTGTTTTAAACAGCAGCGCTATAAGGAATGCATGCTGCATACTTGCCACATTCAGCTTTGTGTGAGAATGTGGTGCCTTCACACACAGATGCATAATACATGCCACCAAGCAGAATGTTATATATGTACATGCAAACAGAGCCAGCGCACGTGGGCATTATGCCAGCCTGTGCAGACATGTGTGTGAGTGACACGTGCGGCATGAATGCATGTAACCACACTTCACTGCAGAATACACAAGTAAGATGGACCTCTTAGTGCCAGCAGGCTGCTTGGCACTGAGGAAGATGATGCCTGAGAAATAGCAGCCATGCAGCAGAACTGGCAGGAGCTGGATCCTTCCCCAGTTACATAAGATACACAGCAAGAATAAAAGCAACGGGGGGAGGGAGGAGGAAGGGGCACAAGGAGGGAAGAAGGAGAAGCCAAAATGGAAGGAAGAGGGGTGTGTTTGGGATTAGGCGTTGGGGGCGTGCAAAGAGGGAGAAAATGTGGCGAGAGGAGGTGTGTGTGTGTGAAGTGCATCTTTC